CAATAACATCTACCTTGATACCAGAAACATCATCGAAATCCATTTATAATAAAACGTACGCATCGTTCAACGAATGGCGTCTTCGAAACAAGGCAAACTCTTATTCCGAAAATGTTCTGCTGACCTATTTAGCTGAATTGGGTACAAAATACAAGTCATCTTCATTATGGTCATTCTATTCGATGATTAAATATGTGTTGAAGATAAACCATGACGTTGATTTGAAAAAATATGAGAAACTACGAGCGTTTTCAAAAAGTAAATCTGAAGGATTTCGAGCAAAGAAATCTTCCACTCTGACCCCGGAAGAAATCAGGAAATTTATTGACAGAGCTCCTGATAAAATTTTTCTTTTGCATAAGGTAAATGTTCATATTTAATCTGATCTATTCAAAAACTTTGTTCTTATTTGATTCAGGTTATATAAGTTATTGGAATTATGGGCGCATGCCGCTCAAACGAGCTTTATGAAATGAAGATAGAAGACGTGAAGGATTTCCAAACAGAGTTATTGATGACAATACCCAAGACTGAAACTAAAATTGTACGAAAATTCAACATAAACAGTACGTTTTACAATATTGTAAAGAAGTACATCGATCTCCGTCCGTCACATGTAGAAACCAATTCATTCTTTCTAAATTATCAAAAATCGAAATGTACAATACAACGTATAGGAAAAAACAAATTTGCAGACATTGGTAGACAAATTGCCAAATATTTGAACTTGCCACATCCTCAAAATTATACCGGCCATTGTTATCGCAGATCATCTGCCACTCTGTACATTGATGGAGGAGGCGATATAACTGGATTGAAGCAACATGGGGGCTGGAAATCTACCCAAGTAGCTGAAGGATACATTGATCAGTCCATAAGAAACAAAACAACTACAGCAGAAACTATTGCCAAACAGATAAATAGTAATGAAGCAACTTCTTATTTTACAGCAACCGAAATTCCAAATATTCGTGTTGAAAACTCTTCCAAAGTCAATCATAATTCACGACCAATTCAGTTTATTAATTGTACTGTCACTAATTTAAATGTAATTGACAAATAAAGTTGTTAATTGAAAATCTGAAATAAATGTTATTAACAAATGAAGTTGTTAATTGAAAATCTGAAATAAATAAATTTGTCGTAAATAAAGTAGATTATACTACTCGCAATAATGGATATTATTCTCTCGGAGAACGCGGCTCGGTTCGTAGAAATTCCTCGAGAATAATAGCTATCATTATTGACTCGTGGTATAATCTACTATTACGACGTCACCTTGTCGTTATAATGAAGTCGTGATGACTTGCTTATGAAGATTTACATAAGCCAGTCGCAGAAGAGTTGTATCGAAATATTATTAGTATGTCGTTGTGTGGTCTTTCGTTGTCATGATCATGAGCTGGACATCTAATTCATAACAATAAGTTTATTATATCGAAAGGTGACTGAACAATTGAATTTTGACAAACAGAATTCGATTCTATTCACTAAAAAGTCATGGGCCTGAGAAATATTGCTGAATAATGATGTTTCTTCATTTCTGTGAAAATATATTGAATACATTTCTCACATGAATCGTCAGAATAATGTGACCAGTATACGTAATCTACTTCATTTGCCCATCTCAATTGTATTTCAGGCAGATCGCTTCACGTGGTGGTGGACGGTGTATCGTCTGATACCATTGGCATCAATTCCGGCGTTCCACAAGGATCAATTTTGGCACCAATATTATTCCTGCTTCATATCAATGATCTGTTCGTAGTAACAACTTGTCCCATCCACAGCTTTGCAGATGATAGTACCCTCCATACTGCATTCTCTTCCAGGATTCCCATTTTTTCCCAGGAAACTAGGAACTCACGGCGCAGGCAGGTCAATGCTGTCAATGAAGATATTGCTGAAATCACAGCCTGGGGAACAAACAACCTAGTTGAATTCAACCCCACCAAAACCCAAGCTTGCATTTTCTTAAGAAAGGCGGAACTCATTATGCCCGATATTGTAATGTCTGGCTTCACCATCCCCACCAAGCCCACCATATCTATGCTCGGTATTTCCATCAGCAACACTCCTTCATGGGATAATCATGTCAGATCCATCGCAAAAGCTGCTTCACAAAAACTCGGATTCTTGTTCCGTGCGAGAATCTACTTTACACCTCAACAGCTTCTCATGATCTACAAAGCGCAGATACGGCCTGTTCTAGAATACTGTTTCCACATATGGGGTTGTTAAAGGTCTATTCTTCCAAAATTAAATCACTCAGTATACTCAATATGATTTTATAACATACTTCTCAAAGCATGAACAATTCATCTGTACGCCTTGAAGCAGTCCATTTCTTCTACGTACCATGAAGTGACGTCAACCGCACGAAATGGGTTCACCTGGATGTTCTATGAAATATGACTTCTAGAGTCTCAAATATAGATGATCTAAGGGCGGGCCTACGTCATCATATCTTTTATCTTTCTGCCACGATTCACGAAACGGGATTTTGGTCAATTAAAAGGAGCCATTTTGTTTTGGTGAATTTGAGATTCCGAACGAGGCGACCCTCTTATTTGAGTGGATTTTAACAAGTGAGATTTGCTCATCGAATTTGTACAATTATTACTTTGTTGACGGTGGAACGTCTAGTAATAAACCACAGTTTGTGGGATTGAATTGAATCGATTGAAAGCTGAGAATCTCACTGCACTGAAGACCATAACCTCATTCTGACCAGTCTGACACTCACTTTTAGGCCCCCTCACATCCAAGGTAAGCTGTAGTCACTGGAAGTGTTGCTTCTGCATATACAAACTACCTGTGCTTTGACCCTCTGTTGATATGAAATACTCTTTTAGGCCTTGAGATTTTGGGGTTTCACCTCAAATCATTCTTCACTTTTGTACCTGCTTTCTGCTTTGCTTTGCACTGTTACCTGCATGTCATTTCCTGTCAGCGCTTAGCCCACTCTCATCCCACTGATGGAATGTAACTACTACCACACTGATCGAGCTACTGAAACTTCAAGAGCATCAGGAACTTAACAGATAAGCCCTAGGATTAAGGATAATTTACCTATTTCCATGATAACTTTAAAATCATAACAATAATGCCTCTGCATGACTTTGCTACACTACTATCTTGATACTTGTATATTTATTACCCTCTGAGATATCTCAAGTACTTATATTTTGGTTTAAGAGCCTGTAGGACTCTGTAAGCCCTTGGTATAGCTATACTGAAGGTAAGTCCCCATGCATTTCATTGGTTGCTGTGCTTTGCTTGGATATTGCTTGGGTATGCTAATATAATGCGTAAACATTGCTTAAATATTGCTCAGCCATTGTTTAGATCTTGCTTATGTAGATAGTTTTCCGCCAGGGAATAATTTATACATTTGAAGCTTACATAATTAGGTACAGTTGAGTGACCAGTCTTTACCCATCTATTATTATTTCCTTGTGCAATTAGTCCTATTACATAAGTGACACGAATAATTTGTCAATTCTAGTGACCTTCTGTATAATTTGTTGACCGTGTCCAATGTCATTATAATCATTAATAAAGATTCTGTTGTTAGTTGGCTCGGTTCAGATCAGCTGTCAAAGTAGGTATGTTCGTTCCGTGGCTTAGAGTAGGTCTGTTCATTTTATAGGCGTGTTCGTTTGAATCGGTGCCTGCCAGTGTAGGTCAGTGCCGATTCTAGGTCTGTTCCTTTGATAGGTGCGTTCCTTTGAATCGGTGCCCGTCAGTGTAGATCAGTGCAGCTTTAAGGTACGTTCGTTTGATTGGAGCGTTTTCCACTGGTATCGACGAGTAAAGAGTTGAGTTATTAATCTGCAGCGGATTTGAATTATTATCTATGCTCGATAAGTTGAACTTTGGTGTAGTTTAAATAGATAGATTGATGTATCGTTAGGGAATGCTGGCGAAGATGTCATATTCTCCCGAATATATTTTGTATATCTGAATTTGGGTTTTTATTTTCTCGGACTCCTGGAATAGGTTCCCGTTTTCTTAAAAAGTCAAGAAATTTCTCTCGAGGGTAGAATAAAGCGGGTGGCGCTCATAATTAACATCACTTCTACTCACGACCCTTCTCCACTTGTAAGGGCTAGCGGCCTACCCTTGAGAAAGCTCTAATCCGGGAGAATAATAGATCCATCGGATTGCCACCTGAATGATAGTTACAAAATGGCGCCCAAACGTTTCATTTACTATAATTAGTTGTGGTAATACTCATAGTTGGTTTCGTCGTTACACTGAGCCGGTTGTTAGGCATTTTCATAGGAGATACATTTCTTTGGTTGGAGGTGATTCCCAAACCGTGTCAGTCTAGATGAGGCTTATCAGTTAGGTTAATTAGTTAAGTTAGGTTAGTTTGTTGAGGTTGCCTGAGGTTGCAGCCTTGGTGGTGAAGGTGCTTTAGGCCTTCCTTTTGTAGGGAGAGATAGGGTTTGTAGTTGTCTACTACACATTAGGTATAGTTATATTCTTGACCTCTGTCCTGTGGTTGACTTCATATAATGGAAATCAATCGACTTTTAGGTGACGAGGTCACTTATGAACTTCAAATTCGTGGTTGTCCAATTACGGGTTCAGTTAATGAAAAGCGAGCTAGTCTGAGAGAAGTTTTGAGAATGGAGCGTACCGGATTAACGGCCCCTCCTTCGGTGGTTCAACTTGAGCCTGAATATGAACTGTCCTTGTGTGAAGGAAAACTCGGTGATTTAGCTGATGATATTCAGAATTTCAATCTGGAAAACCGAGATAATGAATTCAAGCGTATCTTTTCGCGCTTGTTACATATTGATGCCCGATTAAACAGAATACAATGCGATGCTCCTCAAGCGTTGAGGCGAAATGCTCTACTCTCGTGGAGTCGACATCTTATTGCAGATGTTCATCTTAGGGTGGATGGGGTAGCACTGCCACATGTATCAACACAACCAGAGGTCTGTCATTCCCTGTCAGGAGAAACGGTCCCACTACAACCTTTTGTTATGCACAGTAGTTCGCAAAATAACTCTAATAACAATAATAATGGTGAGGATGCGGAAGGCCAGGAGGAGAATCATGAAAGGGCTTCAAGAGGTTCACATCCTCAGGAATTCGCGGCCCAATGGGAACCTGACCCACCAAGGAGCCAGTCGACAGGCCATAGTGGGATTCCGGAATTCTCACCACCCGAGAGATCCATACCAATTGGTTCTCAATTCAGAGGTAAGGTACCTACTCACGCTGAGGATAGGAACTCACGTCGGGTATCTGGCACCTCTGTGAAATTTCAAGAACCATTAATTGATCATCCACCCGCTCCTGAATATTATTCTGGATATAGCAACCGCGCAAATTCTACAGCGGAAGTTACTGCAGACATGGCACACATGTACGTCTCTTCACCACATAGGAGTTTCTTTGTTCCTAGGGGACATTCATCTACCCAACCTGTGGAGCCTCAAAATACCTTCGATGTAAGTCGTTGGAACCTACAGTACGATGGAATGACAAGCGTGACGAGTTTCCTAGAGAGAATAGAGGAACTAAGAGTCTCTCGCGGTGTTACTAAACATCGGTTACTACAGTCAGCTCCAGAATTGTTCAAAAAAGACGCTTTGCTGTGGTATCGGATGAATGATTTTTCATCATGGGATGAGTTAGTGTCGAAACTGCGTGACGACTTCCTGCCACACGACTATGAGCAAGCATTGTGGGACGAAATTCGTCGTAGAACGCAAGGCGCTCAAGAGCGGGTCATCAATTATGTGTCGGTGATGGAGAACTTATTTAAGAAGCTCTCTCAAAGGCCCTCGGACGAGACAAGAATTGGGATAGTGCGCAGAAATTTATTACCACATATACAGACACAACTATCAGTTCATCAAGTTCGATCAATGTGGGAACTCATTCGATTGGCCCGAACAGTTGAAGAAACCGACTGGAGAGTGCAGAAATTCAGTCCTCCGCCAACTAATGTGAGGAATCTGTTAGAACCGGAGTTGGCATACCGCCGTCCAGGTCCTAGTGTTTCATCTGTGGATACAGATATTTGCAGTGATAGACGGCAAGTAGATGTTATTACTACCCAGGACCGGACAGAAAATTTGACGAAACCACAATGTTGGAACTGTCACAGCCCGGATCATAAGTTCAGACGATGCGAGAAACCCAGGAGGGTATTCTGTTACAAATGTGGGCGTGACAACGTGACTAGTTCGTCTTGTGTTTCGTGTTCAAAAAACTGGAAGAGATCGGGGCAGTAGGCCAGCTGTCCCCGAGTTCATCAAATGTTATCCCCGTTTCCAATAATAAGTTACTCTTGGACTATGTTCTAGCGCATGCTAGGGACGACGAACGGCCTTATCTCAATGTAAATATTTTAGGTTATAATTTTTTCGGGTTATTAGATAGCGGAGCCTCTAAAACTGTCTTAGGTGGCCCCGGTTATAAAATTTTACGTGATGTCTGTTCTCTGGTAACAAGAGAACGTAGGACATGCACCGTAGCGAATGGGGAGCGGTGCGAAATAATTGGTTACTTATCCCTACCGATACAACTTCGTGATCGTATACGGGTTATTGATGTTTTGGTCGTCCCAGAGCTACCACATAGTTTAATCCTAGGTGTGGATTTCTGGAGAAGCATGAATATTGTCCCTGACCTCAGAGCAGGAGATTGGAATTTTAGGTCCGATGAGCCAAACGATAGTATCCAAGTGTCGGGGATACTCGATACAGATTCCCTCTCGAGCGATCAGCGCCGTAGGTTATCGTTACTTATAGAGGAAGCTTTCGCTTCTGCGAAAGGAGAACTTGGTTGCACACACCTAGTAGAACACGAAATTCGAACCACATCACCCCCCATAAAACAAAGATACTATCCTATATCACCGGCACTTCAGAAAATCGTCAATGAGGAACTGAATGATATGCTTGCTAAAGGTATAGTAGAGCCTTCTAGTTCTCCTTGGTCCTCCCCCATAGTTATGGTCAAAAAGAGCGACGGTGGATGGCGGTTCTGTGTGAACTATAAGCGCCTGAACTCTATAAGTGTACCCGACGCTTATCCTATACCGTACGTTAGTGCTATATTAGACAAGTTGCGTGATGCAAAATTCCTATCGACTCTTGATATCAAATCTGCCTATTGGCAGATTCCTGTTTCTGAAGCCTCTCGTCCTTTAACAGCATTTACAGTCCCTAATAGGGGTTTATTCCAGTTCCGGAGAATGCCTTTCGGCCTCCACTCAGCCCCAGCGACCTGGCAAAGGCTCATCGACCGCGTTGTGGGAGCCGATCTTGAGGGTTATGTGTTCGTTTATCTGGACGATCTCATTATTTGTACGTCAGATTTCGACAAACACATAGACGTCTTGAAGGAAATTCTAAAACGCGTACGAGATGCTGGTCTGACCCTTAATAGGGAAAAATGCAATTTTTGTGTCTCCGAGCTTAAGTACCTCGGGTATGTGGTCAACTCCTCAGGGCTCTTGGTCGATCCGGGTAAAGTGGACGCAATATTGCGTATCCCCACCCCTCGTACGGTATCAGAGGTACGAAGAATCGTCGGATTAGCCTCTTGGTACCGGCGGTTCATCCCGAACTTCTCAATGGTAGTCTCACCCATGACTAGTCTCACCCAGAAGAATAAACCCTTCATATGGAATCAAGAGTGTGAAGACGCCTTGAATACCGTCAAGCAACATTTGGTTTCTGCCCCAATCTTAGCCTGTCCGGACTTTGAGTTGGAATTCTTTGTGGAGACGGATGCTTCAGACTATGGTCTAGGTGCCATCCTCTCCCAAAGGCACCCAGAAGGGGAAAGAGTCATCTGCTATTTGAGCAGATCGCTCACAAAGAATGAGAGAAAGTATTCCACGACGGAAAAAGAATGTCTGGCGGTCCTCTTCGCCATAGAGAAATTAAGACCTTACCTAGAAGGCACAAAATTCACCGTAATAACGGACCATAACTCCCTACGCTGGTTGTTCAGTATAAAAGAACCAGTTGGTCGCATAGCTCGCTGGGCGCTCCGGCTACAGCAGTATGAGTTCGAGGTGGTGCATAGGAGAGGAAAAGACCACTTAGTGCCAGATGCTTTATCCAGGGCAGTTCCTATGATCAACCTCCTTGGAGACAATACTGTGGAGCCTGAGACTACGACAGATACATGGTTTCAGACTATGTGTGAAAGAGTTTCGAAAACTCCTGGGAAATATCCGTTGTGGATACTAGAAAACGGCAAGTTATATAGAAGGACCAAGCTCCTTTATCCCGGCCTTTCGGACAATGAATGGCTGACGGTAATTCCCCGAGAAAAACGGAAGAAAATAATTCAGGATAACCATAACCCCGCCACGTGTGGACATCTAGGCGTATCCAAGACGGTTGATCGCATTATGCGAAACTATTACTGGCCTAAGTTGCGAGCGGATGTGGCTTCTTACGTTAGAAAATGTCCCATTTGTTTAGCTACAAAACCCGAACAAAGGCCGACTGCAGGACAAATGCTCTCGGCACAGGTGACTATTTCAAAGCCCTGGGAGTTGATAAGTGTGGATCTGGTGGGACCGCTACCACGCTCTACCTCGGGACATTGCTATATCCTATCCGTCATGGACTGTTTTAGTAAGTATGTCCTATTATTCCCAATACGCACCGCGACTGCAACTAATGTCATTAAGTGGCTTGAAGACCACGTCATCCTTATTTATGGTGCCCCTTCCCGGATCATTGTTGATAACGGTGTGCAGTTTAGAAGTTCTCTCTTCAAATCTACTATGGAGAAATATAATATCCAAATAAAGTTTACGGCTTACTATCATCCCCAGGCGAACCCTGTAGAGAGGGTGCATAGGGTCGTTAAGACCATGTTGACCTCCTATATTTCTGAGAATCAGAAACACTGGGACAAATATCTAGCCAAAGTGGCATACGCTTTGCGATCATCCAAACACGAGGTGACCGGTGTATCACCAAACTTGATCAATTTTGGTAGAGAGGTACATTTGAATGACCTGGAGAGTACACCGATTTCGGTCACTCCCGCGAATGACGTGGAAGAACGGAAGTCGGCTCTGAATAAGCTATTTAAGGACGTAAAGACCAGATTATTAGCTGCTTATGAGAGGAGTAGAAGAGTCTATAATTTGAGGCACCGTTCAGAGAGATTCCACGTAGGTCAAAAGGTATGGGTAACCAACCGAGTCTTATCAGATAAAACTAAGAACTTCGCTGCGAAATTCGCACCAAAGTTCAAAGGCCCCTTCACCATCGCTCGCGTTGTTTCACCGTGGACTTATGAGTTACATGACAATAATAGGCGTTCTCTTGGAGTATGGAATGCAAAGGACCTGAAGTCTCATCCTCCAGACTAAAGTATTTTCGTAGATAGCCTCTCTCTCCAGATCCATCGATATAATTTCTACCGTAGATTTTAAAAAGTTTCTTTGAAACTTTTCTCAGGAAGGGGTGGCGTTGTTACAGGTCTATTCTTCCAAAATTAAATCACTCAGTATACTCAATATGATTTTATAACTTACTTCTCAAAGCATGAACAATTCATCTGTACGCCTTGAAGCAGTCCATTTCTTCTACGTACCATGAAGTGACGTCAACCGCACGAAATGGGTTCACCTGGATGTTCTATGAAATATGACTTCTAGAGTCTCAAATATAGATGATCTAAGGGCGGGCCTACGTCATCATATCTTTTATCTTTCTGCCACGATTCACGAAACGGGATTTTGGTCAATTAAAAGGAGCCATTTTGTTTTGGTGAATTTGAGATTCCGAACGAGGCGACACTCTTATTTGAGTGGATTTTAACAAGTGAGATTTGCTCATCGAATTTGTACAATTATTACTTTGTTGACGGTGGAACGTCTAGTAATAAACCACAGTTTGTGGGATTGAATTGAATCGATTGAAAGCTGAGAATCTCACTGCACTGAAGACCATAACCTCATTCTGACCAGTCTGACACTCACTTTTAGGCCCCCTCACATCCAAGGTAAGCTGTAGTCACTGGAAGTGTTGCTTCTGCATATACAAACTACCTGTGCTTTGACCCTCTGTTGATATGAAATACTCTTTTAGGCCTTGAGATTTTGGGGTTTCACCTCAAATCATTCTTCACTTTTGTACCTGCTTTCTGCTTTGCTTTGCACTGTTACCTGCATGTCATTCCCTGTCAGCGCTTAGCCCACTCTCATCCCACTGATG